GGTCTCTTCTATAATTAATGTACATGTGCTCATTTTCTAGAACTCAGCCTTGTTTGCTTGTGCTGAAATTATCGTCGAGGTTTATGGTTGTTGGATCTTTATGTCCTGGGGTTGGTGGTGTCTGTTTATCTGATGGCTCCCTGGAGGAGACATGCTTCTCTTCACACGCAACTCACCTGGTAAGAACAACTGCCACAGATGTGGGGTGACCCATGCTTGATTCTGACAGGTGACTGGGACACTTGGAAAGCTTGGGGTCTGATATAATGGGAATGCAGTCGGAATTGTTGCTTGTTGAACAGATCTAACAAGGGAGGCTGGATATGACAGAACCAGAAGTCTGTACTTTACCCTGTAGGAAAGTATGCTTTCCTAACAGAGCATAGTAACCACATTTGTGTTTTAAAAGTATCCATTATGTTTTGGGACAGACCAGGAACTGGGATGAGGAAGAAAATTTGGTGCGGCGGAGGAGGAGTTCCACCAAAGTAAAACATGTCTGTATTCAGGTTAGATGTGGCTGAGGGATGTCTCCATCCTCAGTCAGTCCAGGGTCTCTTCTCTCTTACCTCCCATGCTGCTTCTCCTGCTAACCCCTCTCTGCTAGTCCGTACCAGTCCACATCAGCCAGCATGCGCTCAGACCAAGTTCTCTGGCACTCACCACCTGGACCCCTGTGGTGCACTTTCCTCTGTGCCTCCATGTCTCTGTCAGGAAAAGGGGACAACAGAACTTTTCCTGTATGATAGTTGTGAGGATTTAAATAAGCAAGCATCCAGGAAGCCCCCAGAAGGGAGCCTGGCCCTGAGTCAGCACTATATAAGCTTGCCTCTCAACCCTCTGCTCAATCACTTGGGCCAAACAGCGTAGAATTGGGGCTGATACAAGGCTCTCCACCAACTCCTGCTCAGAGGTCGGACTCTGAGGTGAAGCCTTCATGCCTGGTATTTCTCTCGCCTTGCCTCCTTTTGGTTCTGCTATCAAAAGACATGTGAATGCTGGGGTTGTGTCTCTGCTCATTATTCTGCATTTAAGTCAATGCCACTGTCTGGAAACTCCTGAGACACCTTTGTTTGACTGGCCTGTGCTGCAGAAGGAAAGGACTTGGGAGCCTTCTAAGCTTGTGGTGCGAAGGGAACAACTTTCTGCTTAACCAAGGGGTTTCTCAGAAGCCAGCCATTCTATCCCCCATCTCTGGCGTCTCTGGCATCGTCAGTCCCCCATAAGACCTTGGCAGGCTGATAAAAGAAAGACAGGGGGCTGTCCCTTCATTAAGGGGCTGCTTTTTAACTGTTTCCTGCCCACCTCGAGCTGAGTCACACAAGCTTCCCAGCTGCTCCCTTTTCTGCACTCCAGCTCCTTCCAATCAGAGAGCAGTTGCCAAGGGAACCACAGGTACCAGTCTCCCTCCATCCCCTGAATCAAGGCCTAATCTACATTGAAAGAAATTTCCACTCCAGAGCTCAGCAGATTTCAACATTTTACAACCTGCTTAAACTCTGGTCACGGTCACTTCTTTCTTAAAAGCACTGGCCTCCTTCCTCCTCAGCAGCTCAAGCTTGTTCTTTTGCATGAGGCGCTCATGGTGCTACTGAGGTTTTCTTACAGGATTAATTTAGCTAATTGATCCCTACTCGGGTAGGAATGACAGAGTAAAAAAACAATAAAACTCCTTGGACGGAGTCATTGGAAGGCTTGAATGAGATAATGTAGGTAAAGCGCTTGGCAGAGTGGAGACTCAATAAAAAGCATTTTGACGGTAGGTGAAGATAGCTCAGGGAGATGGAGTTAACGGGAGGAAGAAGTGAAAAAGCAGAGCGGGCTCTAGAGATCAGCCTGGGGATGCCTCTCAGGTACTACCGTTTAGAGTTCCGTCGCTCCACCTCCTTGGGAAAAGGAGCCTCCCATCCCCTGATCCTTAGCTGGTTTCCTGGGAGGAAAGAGAACCAATCATCTAACCACAATCACCTTCCTTGAACTCTCACCTGGAAAGGACATTGTGTCTAAATAATTTGTAAGTGGACTCAGCAGGATTTCCTAAGTGTAGGAGACCATGTATATTTTCCTTTCAGGGTCTCCCAACTTCCTGCCATCCCGGGCTGCTTCCCCAGTTCCTCCAGCCCCCTCTCCTGTCCATAGAGACCCAGGTGCTTTCTGTGCACCCTAAAACCCCAGAAGTCCAGGAAGGTGGACTACGTGGATTGTGACTGACTCTTCAAGAGAAAAAGTCCAACAAGCTAGACAGAAGCTTTATCTCCTTTTATGACCTACCTGCCAAAATAGTCACAAAAGCCACCCAGTTTCAAGGTGGGAGAAGAAAGACCTCACCTCTAAAACATGGTGGGTCAAAGCCACTGTGTTCATTTTCAAGCACCACCATAACAGAGTGTCACAACCTGGACGGTTTGAACAACAGATATGTATTGTCTCACCGTGTTGGAAGCTAGAAGTCTGACAAGGTGTTGGCGGGGTTGCTTCTGTTAGGGTTCAGTAAACAACACCGCAAACCCCACAATATGATGACTTTAAGAGAGCAACTTCTGACTTCTCTCCACCACTGTCTGTCTCTCGGTGCTTGCTTTCTCCCAAAGCATGTGGGGGGGATGGGGGGAGAAAGCACCTCTCTCTGAAGCTCCCATCCCAGAGGGAATGCACTGAATTTCAAATCTCATTAATCAAGAAAGAGAAGACAGCCAGGCATGGTGGTGCACACCTGTAATCCCAGGACTTGGGAGGCTGAGGCAGGAGGATTGCTGTGAGTTCAACACCAGCTTGGGCTACATAGTGAGTTCAAGGCCAGCCTGAACTACAGAGTGAGACCTTGTCTCAAAAAAAAAAAAAAGAGAAGACTAGGGCTCTCCACTCCAAGGCATCCTGCCTAGGCTATGTGTCATCTATTTTTCTGAAGGCAATTCCAAAATGAAAATTACTGACAAATGGGGCTGGGGATTTAGCTCAACGGCAAAAGCGCCTGCCTGGCAAGCGCAAGGTCGTGAGTTCGGTTCCCAGTACCGGAGAAAAACCAAAAAAAAAAAAAAAAAAAAAGAAAATTACTGACAAATTTTATCTACCTCTCAGGCCAAGCCTTGTTGTGTGCATCCCTCCCCCTTGTCCCTCCCATAGCCTATCATCCCTTCCCTCCAGGACAACCCAAGTCCCCAACACCACGCAGCCTCCTTTCCTCTCTATAGTTCAGGAAGTTTCTTAAGCCTGCACCATCTGGCCCTACAGAGGAGTTTGTACTCTGTGTTTGCCTCCTGTGCTGTGGTGGTTTTTTTCTCTGTGCAGGTTAATAGAGTTGTGTGTCTTTTCTCTTATTTAATCTGTCTATCGTCAGTTCACTTGAGCAAACCTTCAGAGGGTAAAGGGAAAGCTTCCCCTACAGTTCTTTCAGAGGTCTGTGAACGAGAATCCATTCTCTGCCTCTTACCTATGTGCTGACAATTCGCAGGCAATCTTGGGTCTCTCAGATCTAGAAGCACACTCCGCCTTCACTCTGTCCACCTTCCCCTGTCCGCATTTTCCCCTTTTTATGATATCACTAGTCATACTGAATAGATGCGAGGGCCAGCCTCATAGGAAGCCCCTGGGCCTGTCCCTAGCAAAGACTCCCCACCACTCACTTCTCCCCAAAAACCATGGGCTTCACATTTGTAAAACAGTCTCCAAAGTCCCTCTCCTCCCACTCCTGCCACCAAAAGCAAGCAGGCAAACAAACAAAAACCAGTGGCCTGGGCTGGGCGTGGTGGCACACACCTGTAATCCCAGCACTCAGGAGGCTGAGGATCGTTGTGAGTTCGAGACCAGCCTGGGCTACAAAGAGAGCTCAAGGCCAGCCTGAACTGCATAGCAAGACCCTGACTCAAAAAAGACAAAAAAAAAAAAAAAAAAACAGTGGGAGTTAAGGTGGAATTATCCGTCCCCCTCTGAGTATTGCATTCTTCTACGCATGTGGGTACGGAGAGCAGACAAGTTTACAGGGACAGGAAGCAGAATAGAGGTTATCGGGGCAGGGCTGGAAGAAGAGGGAATGGGAAGTGGGTGTTTGATGAAACGAAGTTTCTGTTTTGAGCTGGGGCACAGCTCAGTGGCCTAACCCTGCCTGGCACGTATACAACCCTGCGTTCAATCCCCACCATTGCCAAAGAAACCAGAGTTTCTATTTGAAATGATAAAAAAAAAAAAGTTCTGGAAATGAATAGTGATGATGGCATACAACAGTGTAAACATACATAATGCCATTGAATTATACATCGAAAAAAAGCTAAAATTGTACATTTATGTTATGTATATTTTATCACACTTCTTGCTTTTAAAAAAATAGAGCCCATTTGAAGCAGATGATAAGCTATAAGATATCAAGACAATCAAACTTTTAGAAAAGTTCATCGTTGCCCAAGGTATTTTTTTTTTGTAGGTTTGGTTTGGTTTGGTTTTCAGATAGGGTCTTGCCGTGTAGTTCAGGCTGGTTCTGAGCTCGCTAAGTAGCCCATACTGGTAGGTAATCCTCCTGCCTCAGCCTCCCGAGTGCTGGGATTACAGGTATGCGCCACCATGACCAGCTTAACATGTTACACTTCTTAAAAAAACCTATAAATTATGTTTAATTGTTGTCATTGTACAGATAAGGAAATAAAGGCACAGAGAGTTGAAGTGCTCAAGGTCAGAGGAAGAAAAAAATGAAACAAGAGATTTATCTCAAAATGCAGGCAAAGGCATTCACTAAGGTGCCTGAGCTTTCAAGGAAATGAAGTTGCTTAATTTCACAAACTGGACACCAGAATTGGAGGGACCCTTGGAGATTTGGTTTGACCCCTTTGAAGAAGGAAGAAACTTCATTCCTGGCTGACCTGACCTTGAACCCTGATCAAAGCCTGGGTAAGCTGTTTGGCCCTACCTGATCTCCCTCTGGGGGAGCTATGGTTGTGTAAATAGTGAAGACTGGGGTCCACCTATCCCCCACATCCCATCCATGTGACCTTGAGCATATCACTTACCTTCTCCATGTCACATCCACTAAAAGCATCTCAACTAACAGGAACTGCCTGAAAATATAAACAAATGGAAAGATCAAATGATTTAAAGGACCCAGCACAGGAGAAGGTGTCATAGTCAGTCCCGCTCTGTAAGATACAGCTGCAGAGTAGACCAGTGGATTTGTAGAGTACCAGCTGAGAGATAGACTACAGCCTGGGCTCTTTTTATTAGCAGCTTTATTGAGGCATAATTAATATACAGTAAGATGCACATACTTAAAGCACACCATTTAACAAATTTGGACACATGAATACACTCTTGAAACCATCACCACAATCAAGATAAACATCTCTGTCCCCCAACAAAGGTATCTTGTGCCCTTGCTCTGCCTCTTTTGCACTCCCCATCTCTCCAACTCTAGGCAATATTGATCTGCTTCCTGTAACTATAGATTGGCTTGTATTTTCTTAAATTTTAAATAAATGGAGTTTTGCAATGTGCACTCTTTATATCTGGCGTTTTATATATGTAGAGCCCATGGCTTCTGGGCAGAAGCGAGGGGTGGAGAGTCCTTTGCTAGGGACAGGCCCAGACGCTTCCTGTGTGGCTGGCCCTGGCATCTAATTCAGCAAAATCCTTTTAAGATACATCCAGTGGTTGTTCAAATCAATAGTCCATTCCTCATGATGGCTTAGTATTATTCTATAGATTTGCCACTATCTGCTTATCAATTTACCTGTTGATGGATATTTAAGTTTTTTCTGCTCTGGGACTCTTCAAAGAAAGCTGCTCGGAACATTCATTTACAAATCTGTATTGATCTAAGTATTGTTTTTATTCCTGGGGAAACACCTAGGAATGAAATGTCAGGTCCTTTGATAAGCGTATGTTTAACTTTTTAGGAAACTTCCAGAGCATGTTCCAAAGCGGCTGTACCTTTTCACATCCCTACCCACCATGTATCCATATATAAGAAGAGTTCCAGTTGCTCCATATCCTTGCCAGTACTTGACATGGTTTGATATTTTAATATTAGCTGCTATAGTGGGACCAGTAGTGTATGTTCCTATATCTTACAGCAGCTTTAATTTGCATATCCCTGGTCACTGATTCTGCTGAGTATTTATTCATGTGCTTATTTGCCTTCCCTGTGCCTTTGGTGAAGTGTCTGTTCAAATTTCATCTGTGCTACTCACCAGCTGTGTAACTTCAAACAAGTAACTCAACCTCTCTGCCCAGATTTCTGTTGAAGAAAAAAAAAAAATGATGACAACAGTGCCTTTCTCACAGAGAGGTGTCTCCAATCCCTTGTTTTCCTGCCCCATCCTCACCCCAAGGAGTCTTCATCAGATAGAAGCTTTCTACCAGCTCCTTCGCTTCCTCTGTTATTGAAGGCACCTCTCCCGACCAAGACACACTGACATAGTCACGTGATTCAACTCTCCTTCCAGCTGTGGAGGAAGAGACAGGCATCAGGACCGGAGGCGTATTACACCGGGTACCCGGGGACTGCTTTTGACAGTCCATCTCTCAGGCCCTTTAAACCACTGCTGAAAGACACTTGATATATTAAGATATTTTTCTTTCTGCTTGGAATTCCAACCTGTCTGTCTCCCAGGTAAAGGCTGTCTCTGCAAGACAGGTGCAGAAGAAGAGCCACTGAGCTGCTGCAGAGGCCAGTTGAATCTCTTTCCCATGCCCCACACACCCTCCCTTGGAGAGGGACCGGGTGAAACCACATCCCTCCAGCCTCCATCGGCTCCAAGGTCCTAACTCTGCTCTCCCCCAGTCTCCCAGGTCTTAACATTATCGATGTGTAGCCCTGGTCACAGAAGGTGTGCGTGTTTCCACAAGGGCCCAGACACCAGACCAAGCCAGGAACAGCCAGATCTGGGCATCTGCCCAGGATGACGGGGATAGCAATCAAACCCAGCCTGAGAGGATGGCAAACCCAAGTCCCCTCCACCTTGGGCCCTTGGCTATGGAATTGTGTCAGAGACACCACGGGATTTGGGGAAAATGGTTACCTTGCTGGTTAGATCAGCCTAGCACAGCGCTTCTCGGATGTAGTCTTCCAAGGGTAGAGAAGGAATTAGGAATGCAAACTCTCTGACTCTACCTGGAAACTCTGCCAGGTGAGAGCCCGCAGACTGCTTCAACCAGCCCAATTGGCTGAAGGCGATTTCAGGGCAGTTCAGTGTGAGAAACGCCGACCTTGCCAAGAGTTATAATGATCCATCAGTGTCTCTCAAGGACAAAGGCAGAAGCCACAGTGGTAAAAGCACAACTCTGAGAGACAGATGCATTCAGGCTCACATTCCACCTCTGCCACTTCTAGCTGCGTGATCTTGAGAAAGTCACCAGCCAGGAAGCATCTCCCAGCCTCTCTCCTTTCCTCCTTTCTTCCTGGAACAAGACTGATCCTCTAGGACTTTCAATCCTCTGAAGAGGTGACTTGCATAAAGAGAAAGGCTCAGATTAGGTGCCCAAAGAAGAGCTGTTGTGTTCACCTGCCTCCAGCTTGAAAACTGACTCCTAACAAATGAGACAAAGTCCCCTCCTCAAGCCACTTCACTGTGTCCGTGGAGAAATGGTCATACTAACTTTCCAAATGTAAAAAAAGCTACTGTGAGAAGGGCTCCTTGCTGCGCCAAAGGCTCCCTGAAGATGTACAGGATGGAACCGTAAGTGGTTGGGGCTATGTTTATCGCTACAAAGTACATGCCCTCGGGTGCAGCACAGCCGGCGCAGAGCAGGCTCTACACCAGCCCCTGGGATCCGGCTTCCACAGTGTAACACAGCATCCTCTGAACCGTTGCTTCCTCTAAAATAACTTCAAAAATAACTTCAGCCTCCTCGCCAGTAACTGGGGAAGAAGAGACTTCTCATCCTTAGTCTTACCATTCCCAAACGGGCTGCCGCTCCACTGGTCTCCTCTTGCTACGGGCGCTGCTCTGCTCCCAGTTCCCCAGGCCCCACAAGCTGGTACTTCCTTTTTTTTTTTTTTTTTTTTGGTATCAGGAATCGAACTTAGGACCTTGCGCGAGCCAAGCAGGGGCTTAGGCCGCTGAGCTATATCCCCGGCTCAACGTGGTACTTCCTGACCCTGCTATCCTTCTTCCCTACCCCTTCTCCTCAGGAATCGAAGCCCTGCAGTCCCGCCCTCGGGCAGCGCCCGGGCATCACTATCTGCTCACTCTGTGCCCTGACCGCTGAGTGGAGGAGATTCCACACAGCACACACCTGGGAGCGCTCAGATTCGAAAGTCCGCATCTCCAGCCTTCACGCCCCCGCCCCGGAAATACTGCATAGGCCCATCTGCTTGTCACTTTGGGGGTCCCAGGCTGCTGCCTTGTACGGGGACACTCATTTTCTCTCTTTAATCCCTTTTCCCTGAGGCTTGCAGACCCTGAGCACCCTGCCCCTTTTGAACCGCCGGTGGATAGGTCTGAATTCCTGCTAGTCTGTGCGACAGAGAAATTTATTTTTGAGCCTCCTCCTTCCGGAAGATTCACCGTGGGGGCAGGGTGGAAGCTATCCCTTGAATAACCAAAAAAAGCCTGTTCATAGCATTTTTTCAAAGGAAAGAGCAGCCTTCCTTCTGTCGGGTACCTCCTCACCCCCACCTGGAGTTTAAAAGTGGCTGTAGGCATTTCTGTTTTTAAACAGCAATTTTTCCCTTGCTATTACACATATGCAATGCACAGAAACCCCTGGAAATTCCTCAAGTTTTTATTAAAAATTCCAGATGGTGCAGGAGAGATTTCAGACACTATAGCTTCTGTTAACAACAGGAAATTAATAACCAAACTGACTCGGAGTCAACATCATCTGAATTGGTGACAATAACCTGAAAAGAAAAAAAGCAGATTAACACAGCATTTGAGACACAAGTTGCAGAATCAGCAAGGCCTGGATTCGAGTTCTGAATCTCCTTTCTGGCCCACAAGGAACTGGGGGAGCCAGCCGACCACTCCATGCCTTAGTTTCCTTGTGTGCAAAATAGAAAAATAATAGTACAGTTCATCTACAGCATCACATGTGCATTCCTAAAAATCACCGTGCTGCGGATAAGCAAGAGGTGATGCACACCTGAAATGGAACATTATTCAACCTTAAGAAGGAAAAATGTTCTGACCCCTGCTACAACAGGGGTGAACCTCAAGGACATTGCGCTAAGTGAAATAAGCCAGCCACAAAAGGAGAAATACTGTATGGTTCCAGTTATACAACGTATCTAGAGTAAACAAATTCACAGAGACAGAAAGTAGAATGGTATTTGCCAGGGGCTGGGGAGAAAGCAAATGGGAGTTGTTGAAAGAGTGCAGACCATTAAAGGGGCTCTGTAAATGGCTGTTGATGCTGGTGGCACAACAATGCAAAGGTACAGGGTGCCACTGAGCTACAGTCTTTAAAACTGGTCAAGTCGGTAATTTTATGCTATGTATATTGTCCCAATTTAGAGGAAAAATTTAAAGTAAGTCCTCATGCTGTGCAAAAACCACAGTGCTATGGAAACAACGGATTTGGAAAACATCCCTCAAAAATGCACTGATGACACATTTTTTGAAAGGGGGCCTATGGGCCTGGGGATATAGCTCAGCAGCATAAGTGCTTGCCTGGCAAGGCTGAGGTCATGAGTTTGATTCCTGGGACCAAAAAAAAAAAAATGAAAGGGGGCCTAATAAAAAGGATAGCACAGTTTTATACATGTTAACTGGTTAAGGAATATAAGCAGCACATACAAATGTATAATAAGTATGATGTTTAAGTACCACATGTAAATGTTGCCATACACATAATATTTTACCTCTTCACAGGCCTATAGTTCCCTTGTGGAAGCAAATATCCAAGGTCTGCAGCTTATGTGTTACTGTCAAGAGGTGGGAAGAGAAAAATCTGAAGTCACCAAGAAAGTCATAGCAACGGATGAACGGCTTCTAACACACATGATGAACAAAGGAGTCAGTAGATTTCGAGGTGTGTTCGCATGTGCCCCTTGTGGTTTTGCCTCATACATTTTCCTATGCTCAGTGTTTCCCACACGTACCATCAGGCCTAAGCAACTGCAAACATAACATGATTCTCCCTAACACACAGGTCACCCTGAAAACGTAGACATTTGCAAAATAAGTGCTATACATTTCGGCACAGTGGAGCATACCTGTGACCCAGCTACCGTACTTGGCCAACCAAGAAAGGAGGATTCCAAGTTCCAGGCTAGCCTGAGTAATTTAGTGCAACCTTGTCTCAAATCTTTTAAAAAATAACTGGGGATATAGCTCAGCGGTATTGTGGATTCAATCCCTGGTAGCAAAAGAAAAAAAAAAGGTGAGGAGGAGGAGAAGAGGAAGAAGGCGAGAGAAGAGGAGGAGAATTGACCACATCCAATTTGTAGAATTATCATGAAAACTATGTAAAGTTTTCAGCTGTGCCTTCCACAAGGTAATGCTTAAAAATGATCTTAAAGATTGTGTTTGTGGGGACAGTGGCAATAGTTACTGGGTGCCATGGAAGCTGCTCATGTTGCTAGTCTGAAGGGAGTGGACCAGCAGTGGGCCAAGCAAGATCACATACCCACTTGATAGATGAGAGAACTGAGGCTCCCAAAATCTGAAAAATTTCTTGAGATCACACAAAACTCTAGTGTAAGGTGATTAATTTAGCATGTATGCATACTGAAGTGGCACTTTGTCACCTGGGTTTAGGCAGTTAATCACTTTGCTCGGGTCCCTAGCTATGAGGAAAAGGTTCTGTACCTACAGGGCATTTCAGTCCTGTTTAAAAGGTAAAGGAAATGCCTAAAACCTTCAGTTCTGTCGGAAAAAGCAAGAGTAATTTTTCTGGTGGTTCCTATTGACTTGGAAAGAGCAGATCTGCCCATCAAATGGCATTTTACCAGCTGATCAATTTGGTGTCATTCTCATTGAATTAAATCAAATTGAAATGTAATTCCCTTCCCGGAACAAATCCCCCTGCAGGGATTCACTGCACAGAAGTATTTGACCTTCTGCTGGCGGCCTAGAGGGCTTTCCACAAAGCTGGGGACACAGAGGCGGCTGCAGAGTTCATGTTCTTCTGGACACAACCCGCTCAACTGATTTCTGGGCTTGACTGCTGCATACACCCAGGTCACAGAAGTACCCAGAGAACCTCTGTTAACCCCCACAGAGGGCATTGTCAAGTACCTAAATGTGTCCTACACCTCTGAAAGTGAGCTAGGATATACAAAGGAACAAGGATAACTGGAGCCAGGTAGTGGTACACACCTGTAATCCCAGCACAAAGAGGGATTAAGGGCCAGCCTAGGCTACATAGTGAGTTGAGGCCAACTTGCATAGCAAGACCCTGTCTCAGAAAAACAAAACCAAACAAGGACAATGGGAGGGCCTCAATTATCCCAGGAGGCTTTGCAGCAATCAGGAATAGG